GAGGGATTAAGGGCACAGCTGTCTTCTGAGAAGGTCTGCTGTGCGACAGAAACTGGCCCGGAAACTTGCCTGACACATACTGTCCTACCAATCTTCACACAGCCTTACAGATAAGCATTACAATTCCCACTTTACAAGAGAAGCTTAGTGATCAGGAGACTTGCTCAGAAAGACACGATGAAGCCACTATTCAAACCCAGGTCTGTGTTTCTTCAGAACTCCAATTGCACCGTAGGGCCTTTCATGAGAAGTTCTTAAGTAATTAAAGCTAACATAATAGCAAGAATTTCATAAGTCCCCTTGAGATAACTCAAATCCTTGCAGTGTTACAAAACCAGGCTTGGGAGGCCTAGACAGAAACTAGGGAAATATGTGGCGGAAAAACTCTCAGGCTTAAACTTAATTCCCTTAGTAACCCTTAGCAAAGGCTCTAACAAGGAGTGACCAGCGGAGAAGAGGTAAAGGAGAGCTAGTGGAGCACTGGCTTAATCACCCTCAACACAGGCTGGCTGACCGGCACTGACCGTTCTGGGGGCTCCTAATGAGAGCATCTAACTCAGCTTCTTCCAACCTGTCAATAGTCAACAAATAGTCACAAGATGAAACACTAACACAGGCAGAGAGAAAGTAAACACGATGCACAGCTCCCACTGTTTTATTTGTAAAGCCTTTCATAATTATAGTAAGTTGAACTACTTGGTGAGAGGGAATCTTATTTGGAAGGATGACTAAACAGATTTGGCACAGATATTTGTATTCTTTCAGCCCCATAAGTAAAGATACACTTACAAAACACCAGGTATATCAAAGAGGGCAAGTCAAGACAAAATTTCAGCCCCCAAAACTTTCCACACAAGCGATGGCCTAGGAAAATTAGTGGCAGGGTCCTACTAAATACGTGCCATCATTAACTGGTCCCACCCATGACCTAAAATAGTGTGACCTTTGGTGACAGTACATTAACTGGCCGGTCATTGGCATTGTTACCGCTAAGTGGTAATATTTCTCAGAAAATTTTAAGGACCTGATGTATTTTTCACAAACACACAATAAATGTAATTTTAACTGTTACACATGAGAAATTAAATAATTTGTTTTACAAATGGCCTTGGGGTTTACATTCACTGTGTGGCTTGTAGGACAGCAAAACCTTTATAGTTTAACTTGGCATATAAATCCACATACAAATGTGAGCAACGTGTTTTGTCTAATCATCTGGTGTTATTTTCCCAGCACCTCAGCAATAAAAATATTGCCGAGTCTTCTTTTCTTTGCAAGTACCATGATGAAAAAAACCCTGAGTATGCTCAGGAATCCATTGCCTGCTTATGAAACATAAAGACTTGTGAAAACATGGCACGTACTCAAGGAGCCTAGTTTGTTTTAAATATTTTAATAGTGTGCACTGCTGCACTGGGAACTAAATGTGCATTATGCCCAACATTACATCCAGTGTGTACTATGCTTTGATCATTCTATCAAAAGATCAAAATTTAAATATTATGTAAATTATATTTCATACATGTTCTCCTTTGCAGAAATCAAATGGCAAACTTGTTTCTTCTCTAAACACATGAGAATATAAATAAGCAACAAATTTAAACTGAAGAAAATACTCACTACTTCACTCCATTTTTTAAAATGCCCTCAGGTATCAATTAAAATAAAAAGCCTTTGTGTTTTCTTAACATAATCCTAACTGTCTATGTTTATGCTTTTAAATTTTTAAGCATATTCTTATCTATTTTAAAGGTTCTTTAGCTAAAAATGTATGTTATTTTCATAAGAAATGTTATGTAAATCCTCTTTCTGAAAACTCTGAGAGGTTATATAAGTCAATGAAAAAGAAGGCAAAGATTAGAGAATATTCAATATTCAATCATCAAGAAAAGTTATCATTTTCATAACAACTAAATGTAAAGTATGAACCTTGATTGGATTTTGGTTGTTAAGAAAAACAACTGAAAAAGGCATTCTTAGGACAATGGAGGAAATGTGAACATAAACAGAATATTAGATATTGTGAAATTTTTGTTAATTTTCTGAAGTGTGATAATGGTTCTATGGTTCTTTAAGAAAATATCCTTATTCTTAGTGCATGCATGATGAATTTTTAGGAATGACATATCTGGATGAATGAAACTCACTGATGCATGAAACTGACAAATGAACCAACCATTTTAAAAAGTACTAAAAATAATAAGTAAATAAATAAAAAGTGCTTGTACGTATAAATAGATATGTATAGGAAACAAATAGGGCAAAATGTTAATAACAGTTGATTTTCAGTGGAGAGTGTACAGATGTTCATTGTACTATTCTTCCAACCATTTTGTATACATGAACATTTTCACACTACAACATTTCAGAGGAAAGAGAATAGTCATTTTCACTTATTGTGTACTGAGGCCCAAACCAAACTAGTTACAGATAAAACACTGCTTTACATAGCCATAGGATGTTTCATTTTTCAGTAGCAGTATGCTTCAGAGAATCAATTTTCCACCACTAACCCAGAGAAATCCCGGCAGCCCTTCTGGCCAAGACCATAGAGAACAGCTGATTGACACACACCACCTGAATTAGAGAAAGGCATCAGGATCCCCAGAGGGTAAGCAAGTTTGCATGGCAATCTGTGCGCTAGGAAAGATGAAGGGGTGGGAACAGGGGTCTGGTAGCCAGGGACCTTCACAACAGACAGAATCTACTTAGTCAGGCTATGTTCTTTGGAGATAGCATATGACATGAACTTAAAGCTAAATTAAACTAATTTAAACCATCAACTCTACTTTTTCAGCCACTAAGGATGAATTGTTTAATAAGGAGACTACCAGGTTCAATATTAAGCAAAAAATCTGAGATGCTACTCAAAAATTAAAACCAAATAACCAAGTTCTGGAATTATATGATAATTTTTAGAGAGAACATGTGTAAGCATTTGATTTATAGATAACTGAAGTATCCTATATAATAAAAACCTAATAGGCTAAATGGCTGGTTGGCTGGTCAGCCATTTAACCAATCAAAGCATAATATGCTAATGAATTATAAGGCCACTCAACCAATCACTATGACATGCACTGACCACCAGGGGGCAGATGCTCTGACCAGTAGGTGAGCTTGATGCTGGGGTCTGGCCAATCGGAACTAAGCAAGATGGGTCAGACACACCCAGGAGCCCTCCCAGCGCCCCTCCCCGCTGGCCAACCTTCTGCATCCCTCCCGGACCACAATAGTGCACTGGCAGGGTCCCTTGGCCTGGCCTGCACCCTCTCGCAATCTAGGACCCACAGGCCAGGCTGAAGGACCCCACTAGTGCATGAATTTGTGCACTGGGACTCTAGTTAAAAATAAAACAGATCTCTGAAACAACATAGCTAAATATTTCCTACCTACAAAAAGTGGCCTTTTTTTGTTTGAGGTCCAAATCTCAAAGGTTCTGGGCACTGGTTCACTATTAAGTCAGAGTGCAAACCAGCCATCCATTACTTCCTGCAGAATCTAATATTCTTTTTCATTGGCCCTAATTAAAACTAAGCAGTAAGCACTAAATTTTCAAGAGGCCCAATGCAGTCAAAGGCTCCACCTTGGTTGTACCTCTTTTTTATGTGCTTTTATTTTTAACTTTCCTTTTTCTCATTCAATGTAATATTTACATTATATAATTGTTGTTCTCCCCTTCTTTTCATTCTCCTCTGTCTTTCCTCTTCCCCTCCCAGTCCTCCAGGTTTAACCCCAGGCTGTGGAGCTATAAAGAGTCCTGGCATGGTCCATTAAAGCCTGATCGAATCAGGCCAGGAGCTAGAATACATATAGGGAGAATGGTTCACTTTCCTTTAACCAAAGAACCATTATCCTGTTTATGGTTTAAGTGGGCCCTTTTCCTTCTGGTGACTGCTGCCTGCCTTTGATCTTCAACCAAGCACTTATACTTCTCTGTAAGAGGAGCAGGAGACCATGACACTGAAATCTCACTTTGCTTCTCCTTATCCTAGCAAGAGGTATGGTAGAGAAGTGTTGAAAACATCAATAAGTTTGGGTAACATCTGTGGACTTCCCTTATGCAAGTGAGGCCCAAATTCTGTTCAATGTCTCTATTTTCTGATGTTTTCAAAGTTTCTGATCTATATGTAAGCACTAAGCTAGGTGTGGAGGGAGACACAAAGAGACTTTCTAAGTTCCTCACCAGAGGTGTATGATACATTACAATGGTTTAACAAAAATTTACTGTCTATGATAACACTCCCAGGAGCCTTCGCAGCCTCGAGAAGTGATCTGAGCCACTTCCTGCGGCTTATCCTCTCCAGGCTGCCATTCTTTGTCTGTCAAATGGGGATAATAATAGTCATAGGGTCTGTAAAGAGTAAATGAGTCAGGATGCATAAAGAGCTTAGAAGAGGGCCTAGCACATGGTAAGCGCTATATAAATGCTAGCTAATTGCTATTATTATAGGCTAGAAGCATACCTACAGAAAAGCCTGCAAAGAGAGCTTGCCTTCTTTGCTCCCCACCAACAGACCTACTCCAAACTGGCAGGAAAGACCCACGTCTCAATTCTTTGGTTCCCTGTTTAAGCTCCAGGGTGTATAGAGTGGTCTCAGCTAAGACCATCTGAGTTAGGCCTCTTTCTGGAGTAGCTAGGTTCCGATAGAAAACTGCAATATGGCAACCTCCTATGGTTAAAAATGAAAACTGAAGTGATTAAAATGGAAATCTATTTGACATGCACTTCAGAGCCCACACATTTGCAGTAAGTTCTGCTGCTTCTAATAAAAGTCCCCAACTCTGCAGCACTGTGACCCTGACTGAAGACACACATTACCCTGCACATTAAAAAGACAAATGCAATGACCTTCAACCGGGTACACGGCCCCAGAGTATGTGGCATAAACAAGTCATTGGCTGCTGCCACGCCCGGGTGGCACAGCGAGTCCATTTTTCAGAACAGGCAGGTCCACTCACTTGTGCCACACCTGGCACGTCTTTTGGACAATACTTACGCGTTACAATAGGGCCTCTTTTCATAGCCTTTGTAGTTGTTCATGTTGAGAGCCATCTTGCAGACTTCACAATGGAAACATCCTTTATGCCAATACTGGGGGGAAAAATGTTTTTTGTATTTTAGTACAATGCCAGTTCTTTCCAGGATGGGTACAGAAAGGAGACTTTTTTAGTACATCACAGTCCCCACCCGTAGTTGAAAAATACAACAAAATGATGGTAGGTAACAGTGGATGGGTTTGCCTACTGTCAGTTCAGGAAATAAAGCAGCAACTACGAAAACTGCGTTTTAAAATGAACCCCCACCACAATGTACAGAGAAGGAAGAGCCGCCGCTACAGCTCTGTCCACGCTGCCCTTCTACGGGGGGCCGGGATGGAATTCTGAGCTTGGTTCAGGGAGGAATGAAGCCTGTGAAGTGGCTTCAAAAGGAAAACCACTCCAGTTCAAAGTGCCTACACCCCCGGTGCCTGTAGGATCTCCTAAATACTGGGTCCACAGGGAAGTCAGGTGCCCCGCGGAGCCAGGAAGCGGACTACGCCAGTACCCTCCGCCCCCGCATCCCTGTCCAGCTCCCACTACATTGCGGGAAAGGCGGACTTTGTCCGAAATGACTGTCAGGGTGGCTGAGTGGCTCTTTTAAGAGGCATTTTGACACCACACGCAGATTTCACGGAGACCGCCTCCGGCTGGTTTCAATTGCCAGGCGGGGTCTGGCTCCCGGGCGGTCCCACTCCCTCCGCGCCCGGGGAGGCCTGAGCCGGACCGGATGGGCCCCGGAGCCCTGCCCGCCGCCCGCAGCCCGGGCTCTCCAGGGGCTGATCCTCAGCACTGCGGAAGCGGCCGCCCTGGCTTATTCATTACTATTCGCCTCTCCACCTCCGCCGGCACGGGAGGTCCGGGGGGGGGGGGGGGGGGGGGTAATCAGGACGCCGGCAGGTCTTCCAGGAAGCGGGTGCGGGGAAGCGAGGAGCGGGATGGAGGTGGGAGGGGGCGCGGCTCGCCGATAGGAGGGGCCCCCGGTGCCCGGCCAGGCGCCCGGGCCCGGGCTGGCTTTGCGGAGCGCGCTCCGCCGCAGCCCTGCCGAGGCCGGAACGGCCCCGCACCCCGCCGCCCGCACCCCGACCAAAGCCCCCCCCCCCCGGCTCCAGCGCCGTCCGTGAGCGGCTCCCTGACACTCCCGGGGCGTCTTCCTCCGCGCCCCGCACACGGAGCCGAGACCTTGCGTCCCAGATGCCAAAACTTCCCGGAGCAGGTGCAGCCGGCTCTCCGCTCACCTTGTCCAGGCAGTTGACTTTCTCGGTGGGATACACCACTTTCCCGCAGCGGGCGCACTGGGGGTTCATGGTCGCGGTTGCCGGGGGCGGCGGCGGCGGCGGCTGGGGGCTCCGGGGAGCCGCTGTGGCATCCCCCGCGCGCCCCGCACCGCCTCGGGGCCGCGGGAGGGCGGTGGGCGCCGGGGTCTGGGGGCCGCCGGGCTCCGGGCGAGCCGGCTGGGCGCGCGGGCAGCGGCGGGGGCGCGGTGGGCGCGGGGAGGCGGCGGGCCTGGCGCCTGGGGGCGGCGCGCTCTCCGCTCCGGCTCGGGCTCGGGCTCGGGCTCGGGCTGCGAGCCGCTCGCTCTGCGTCGCTGGCGCCCCAGGTAGCGGTGACTCACCCCGCTCGCGCCGCCCCTCCGCACGGCTCCCCGCCTCGCCGCCGCCGCGCAGGCCAAACCCACCGGCGCGCCCCGAGCCCAGCGGCGGGGAACGAGCACGTCGGGCACCGGAGAGGGAGGGGGCGGCGGGGAGGGGAGGGCCCGGCACCGGGAGCTCCGCGGGCACCGCGGCCGCGGCTGCCGGGCCGGGGAGCGCGCGTGCCGGCGCCGCAGCGGGGGCGGCCTGGTGGGCGGGGGCGGGGCGGGGAGCGGCGGGGCACGGAGAGATGGGGGGCTCCAACCCGCGCGCGTTTCCTGTCCATCTTTTCTGCCCCAGCCCGGTCACCCCCATTCCCGGGCAGATGTTCCTGGTACCCGGAGGGCGCGATGGTGCGCCCGCCCCCCTCCTCCTCCTCCTCCTCCGGCCCCGAGGCCGCGGGCAGAGGCGCCCGGTCCCGGCAGAGGCGGTCCCCGCGGCGCGCAGAGAGCGCTCGGGGCCCGGGAGCCCGGGGACCCGCGGGGAGCCCGACTCCGTCCCCGCGGCGCCCCTCCCGCGGCCTCTGCCGGGAGAGCGCGGCTCCCGGGTCCCTGGTGGAGTCCTGGCGCCAGAGGGGAACCCGTCTTCCCTTCCCGGCTCCCATCCCGGGCACTTTGCCTCTCTCTCCTGGAAGAACGGCTGGTCACTTTAGGCCTCATCAAACCTTTCTTGGTTAATAAACGGTCATCGTTCATTTTGCTCAGTGTGGGTACACACACTGTGTATGTGTGTAACGCAGCACCACGGGATCCACGAATTCTTCACCTGCATTAAGAAGAGCAATTACACACTCGTGGTTCTAAGCACAAAAGTAAAAAAAAAAAAAAAAAAAAAAATCAACTGAAGGCTGAAGATAGGATGGAACCAGACTGAATGGGCATCCATTTTTTAGTTTTAATGAGATCTCAGGTTATTGGATTTGCTTTATAAAAGGCCGCACAACAGAGCGAGACGGCCTGAGTTCAAAGCCCAGCCCTGCCATGTACTGGTCCCCTGAAAACCCTCACCTCACTCTCTCTGTGCCTCAGCGTTCTAATCTACAAAATGGGGGGATAAGAGAGCTGCCCAACAGCGCCTGCCCTCCTGCTGTGCGGATAGAATGAGTCATGGGCTCTGAAGGGCTTCAGTCTGCCTGGCTCATAGTACCAGATAGGCTTATCGTGGGTTGTAACAAATAAACACATTCCATTGCTGGCACACAACGTAAGACTCAGGAATATCACATGGCTACTACCGTGACAAATATTCTGTTATTTTTCTTGTTTGTTTTTTAAATCATAACTGAGGTTTTTCATGGGAAGAAGGAAACTCAATTTCTGGGCTTCTTGGACAGGCTGCACTGGTAAACTATTCACAATCAGGCTGTGCCCTTTGACTTTTCAAAAGAGATAATTTCTTAAAGGGATTAGCTGAGGTAACAACACTCATAGCTCTGCTCATTCCATTACCTCAAAAGCAAATGGAATGGCCCAGCTGGTGTGGCTTGGTGGCTGAGCCCCAACCTATGCACCAGTTCGGCAGTGGCACCTGCAGGGAGCATGCCAGAGGCAGCTCATTGATGTAGCTGTTTCTCTCATCCATGTTTGTAACTCTCCCTCTTCTTCCCTCTATCTCTAAAAATCAATTTAAAAAAAAACATTTTTAAAAAGCAAATAAAACAATAATTTGCTGTCTAAGGACTGGTTGTCATTTTATTGATTGATTTTGAGAGAGAGAAAGAAACATCTACCTGTTGTCCCACTTATGTATGCATTCATTGGTTGGTTTTTGTATGTTCTCTGATCCAAAACCTTGGCGTACCAGGCCGATGCTCTAATCAACCTAGCAATGAGGATTAGTTGTCATTTAAAAACACCTTAGAGCTATTTAGAAATTCCTCAGACCATGGGTGAACCTGGCTGATTTTGTTAAGTGAAATAATCCAAATACAGAAAGACAAATACTGCGTGTTACTTAGAGATAATTTCTTAGATGTGGACTCAGGGGAAAAAAAAAAAAAAAAAGGTTGAACTCATAGAAACAGTAAAAAATAAAATATAAATAAATAGTGGTTGGCAGGGGCAGGGAGGTGGGGAAATAGGGAGGATTAGGTGAAAGGGTACAAACTTTCAGTTATAAGATGAATAAGATCTGAGAATCTAAAGTGTAACATGACTATAGTTGATATGACATATAATTAAAATTTGCTAAGACAGTAGAACTTAAATGTTTTCACACAAAAAAGGGTTAATATACTTAACTCAGATAAAATCCATTCACAGTATATGTATATCAAATCATCATGTTGTATACTTTAAATATCTTACCATTTTATTTGTCAAGCAAATCTCAATAAAGCTGGGGAGGAAAACCTACATTGGATAGTTATTGAAAAATAAAATAAATCTCAGGGAAAAAAATTATTTATATGGTCACCTAAACACTAAGTTTTTTTAGCATTTAGATTTTCATAACTGTAAATGATAGCATGTAGTTTAAAAATCCTATTTTCTTTTTTAAATCTGAGGAAGAGTGAGTGATGGTGATTTATCTGACTTATCTGATCTTTTAACTATGAATTGTATAATTTCTTAGCCAATCAGTACCTATCACAGTCCAACATATAGTAGATACTAATTAAATGTTTGTTGAGAGAAAGTATGAATAAAACAAATTACCATTTTATTTAAAATTGGAATTAATTGTGATGTTTTAGTCTCTCAAAAATAAACAATGAATACTAAGAGTTACATTTTCCTCTCATATCTGCTTCTCTTACTATTTTCATTTTCCGCATTAAGCCAGCTTTTAAGTTTCTTAGTGACATTTCACTGATGTAAGAAGAATTTTAATGCCATCTGTCTTAAAAGGACTTCTTTATTTCAAAATTCAAAGTGCTGTAAACAGAGAATTGGCAGAAACCTGTCATCTGGCCCAGCCTTCCTCCCTCAAGCAGATGAATGATTTAATTATCCACTAGGGAGACCTTTTGCCCCTTTCATGTTTTTTTCACTTGACTAGTCAAGAAATCGTTCCTCATGGAAACTATACCCCAATATCTCCACTTTAATTAAACCCTTTTCTGCTGGCTTGGACATCCACAGATATAAAGAATAGCTCACCTTCATGACCTTGTGAAAACATTTATACCGTTATAAATTTAAATTTTTTTCTTTAGCTAAAATTCCCAAATCTGTTTACTTTTATCTCTGGGGCCTATTTCCATGGAAGCTTGTAAAGACCTTCTAATCACTTTTATTATTTAAGCTACATAAACTGAACTCCAAATTGAAAGCTTTAAAGAGTAATTAATATTGCAAAAGGCCCAATGGTGGCTTTGATGAACACTGGACTCAGATTGTGGTGGATTGTATTATTGGTTCACAATGTTTTTATTCCACCCTGGCAACACTTCCTATAGGCAGGTAGTATTTCCCCACACAGTGACACTGAGCTTGATAGTGTGACTTCCTTTGGCCAATGGAATTTTAGTGGATATGATAGAGGTCATATCAGAGCAGAATCTGAAGGGATTTTGTCCTCTCATCCCTTTGAGCGCTGGCACTCTTCAGCATATCTCAGGGAGTGGCTGTTTCATTGACTTTTGTTCAAGAATTCAAAGACCTGTCTAGCCAGTAGAACCTAACTGAGTTTAGTAAGCCCAGCCGTGCCCAGCAGAGCCACAGCAAGCCCACAACCCCTCACAAAATGAGAGTAAGAAATCATTGTGTCTGCAAATGGCTGAGATTTGGGGGAGAAATTATTTCTACTTCATCAGCATCAAAAACTAATAAATATACATGCAAGAATCAGTATGGGTGGGGTTTTGTTTGTTTGTTTTACTTTTCTAAAAAGGCATGCTGTTAGAAGTGTAATGACCAACTAAGAATAGCTCTTGGTATTTTTTAATGTATTTTTTATTGATTTCAGAGAGGAAGGGAGAAGGAGAAGGAGAGAGAGATAGAAACATCAATGATGAGAATCATTGATCGGCTGCTTCTTGCACACTCCCCACTGGGGATCGAGCCCACAACCCAGGCATGTGCCCTTGACCAGAATCAAACCTGGGACCCTTCAGTCTGCAGGCTGACACTCTATCCACTGAGCTAAACCATCTAGGCCAATAGCTCTTAGTATTAATGTATTCATTTTCTCATCACACAGTTTTATTTTATGCCGTATATTGGTCAGAATTTGTGTAAAATTGTGTACATTTTTGCCAGTTGACACAAATTCACCAAGAAGGAAAGTTTCCCCAGCCAACAAGCTTGATAGGTGAAACTAAAGAAAAACAGTAGATCTTATCTCAGGTGTTATTTGGTAGCTACATATGAGCCTTAGTCTAAGGGAGCATTTCTTCAAAGATCTTATACACTTTAGAAAAATTATCTCATTTACCATTACAGTACCATTACAAGTCAATGAGAAATGTAAAATTAAGACATTAGGGGACATTCAAGATTCAGAAGCTGTTCTAAAAACAATTATGTACTTTTATCCATTCAATACACAATTATTGGTAAACAGAATGTTGGGCACAAGGGGATGCAATGGGGATTAAGGCATGAACTCTGCTTGTAATAAAATCTAATGGGACAAATCAGTAAGCAAAGAATTATAATACAATGTGATAAATGCTCTGAAATAAAGCTCTTCTCTTGCCACTGAATAAGAACAGAGGAGAAACTTCTAATTCA